CTTTTGGCCTGCTGGTGACGGTCTGTTAAAAAACAGCTAACAACATCATAAGAAGACTATTAGTCAGCGACCAAGTTAATTACTGTTGAGAAATGTGTTGTCAGTAATATTCTTGACTCTGGCGCATTTTCAGCAAAAAAAAACCAAACTATTTACAAGCATTCAGAGGAACTTCCTGTCATGAAAAAGAGCTGGTTTTATGAGTAATTATGGTATATATATTACTTTCATTTTATTTGTCATTGATAGATTGACCGTCTCGCCACAGAGTCCACACATTTTGTCCTTTGAGGGCACTGTGTCGTAAAGGAAGTCAATAAACAGCTGCTCAGTATAAACCAAACCCATTTAAATAATTTCTAAACATTCATCACAGTGCAAATCCCCTTTCTCCGAAGAAAAAATAGACAGACAGTTCTTGTAGCCTGCCCTTTAGTGGGGTGAATAATTTGAACATAAATACCATACATACAGTTGCGCTACATATCTTAGCCACGTGCAGTTTCCTCCCATACACCAAAAATACACCATGTCACTGGGAACAATTGGAAAGTTATGAGTGCACTGTATGCTACTAATGTACACTGCTCTTTCTGTAACCTGCCAAACTGAAGAACAATAAACTGTAAACTACTACTGTATACCTGCAAAATTATAATGACTTCTCACATAGATGTTGCTTTTAGTTTATTGCTTGCTTTGGAATTCTTGATAATTTTTGGTGTTAATTTTTTGTTAGTTTAGTTTCGGATGGTTGTGCGCTTGTTTTATTTCTACAGTTTTCTATTGTTATTTCACTTATTTCCCTGATCTTTTATATTATGGCTTATTCCTTTTTCTTGTTTTTATTGATACCATTTCATTGCATTATTTATTTTCGATTTGCTGTTGTTGTTGTGTGAACCCTCGGGAGACCAACAACCACATTTTGTGCAAACTACTGAAATACTCAAACACAAACACTGACACATCATTACTTTTCAAGATGACATTGCAGAGCTTTTAAGCAGTATTGACAGTTCCTTATTTTCCACCTGATGAATTTAATTTTAGCTCTGTTTTGCTCCACATCTCACTTGAAAAATATCCGGCTCTTTAGCTGCTAAACGTCCACTATGTTCACAGCTTAATCTCTAACGTCTGTCTGTCTGTCTGTCTGCTGTTTGGTGCTGGCAGGGCAGCATACCAGTGCGTTAACAGAAAGTTAGTTTTTTTACTAAAAAAGCACTGACTGCGATGCTGATGAGAGCGTTGAGAGTCCAAACAAAAACAGGGCTCAAGTGCGTTCTGAAACAACCAAACATGAGTGAGAGCACGCTAAAAATCTGTACAGTTGAAGGGAACTACAAGGTTGGGTGAAAATTTCTGTGGGAATGCAACCCCATTCACCATTACAGTAATAATTTGATTCATTGTTTATATCAAAATTATTTATTTATGAAGAGCTGTTAAACCTAATATTTTTCTTATGGCCAGAATCTGGCCTCCATATATCAGGCTGCATGGGATGGACCGGCCGTGGCAGCAGGACAAACCTGCATCTAAGCTCATCATGCACATGTACACTCCACCACATCACCTGTCTCCATGCTCCCACTGTTACACGAAGTACACACAAACAGTATTAACTGACCTGTGATTTACCACATAATTTTATAGCTTTACAAGGCCCAAAATCCATAAAACCCTGATGTTATGGTACATTAATCGAGGAAAAGCAGTTTTGTGTAAATATGAAGATCTTAGTGAGTTAATGATGATTTAAACTGGAACACTGATTCTTACTGTTCACAGTAAAAACAAGGAACAGGAATTAGGAATGAGGACAAAAAGGCAGTTATGAGATAAGGGGACCAAATGTACTTGCTTAATGGATGCAGATGAAAACCTGCCCAAGACAGCCTGAATTACAGAAATATCTCTTCGGACTGATCCAGTATAGTGTTTGGTGGCAGATATGAGCTTCTAAAACTTTCCTCGTTCTTGGTCTCTCTGCTGCCAAACTTTCAGCCTCACTTCGTCCAGGAAAAGCTGGACAAGGAGCCCTTCCTTTCATTTCCATACCTTGGCTTGCTACGCCATTCCTTTGATTTGGTTTTTCTTCATGAAACCTACATCCATACGTTGCGGACGCCGCTGTTCTTCCGTCACACTGCAGTGCACAGTCAGTGGTATTTCTTACAATCCAGAACATATCCTTCTTGGAGCTCAGAGCC